CCCCCCCCCCATGTGAGACACTTTTTTTATGGATGGGCGATTTTTATTTACGTTATTTTGGACTGAAGCAATGCAACACCCACTGAGTGGCATTAAACAGCTTGAAAGATCAAAGACAATTTTTAATATAACTCCGACTGGATTCGTCTGAAAGAAGAAAGTCATATACACCTAGGATGCCTCGGGGGTGAGTAAAACGCAGTCTAATTTTCATTTTTGGGTGAACTAACCCTTTAATATTTAAAAAAAGAAAGAAAAACAGTGTGTGTGTGTGTTTGTGTATATAGCCATTTTTCTGCACGTTTTCTTTTGTTGTACTGTTATTCCATTGAAATGTGGTATAATTGCACTACAAATAATCAATTCTGCTAAATTAAGGAATGTAAACATATGCAGTAATAAAAGCATACATGTACAGCTATTGTAAGTCTGATATGAAGTGCATTTCAGGGAATTCTGCCTAAACTCTCCTCCTCCAAATCATCAGAAATTTGAGCTGACGCCACAGTCTAACTCAACCTCGCTCTGAACTCAACCTGATTCAACACGTACTCACCTGGTCCACGTTAGACCTTTTGACATAAACGGTCTGAACTACAGCTTTAAATACGAAGCTCTCAAAACACCAGCTCTATTCATAACCCTGAAACTCCTGAGAGACTCCAAGACCACTTTAATGGCTCAAAAACATATTTAACATTGTTGTATCAAGGTTATACTAAATAACTTATCCTAATATATAACATATTTAGATATAAACTGTGATGAAATCCAATAAATTAATATGCACTGTACTTTTCCTGCACTGTACCCTGAAATAACACTTAGCAGAAAAACCAAAGATATGTATTATTATTAAATGAAAATGTATTGTCATATCTGTGTCTTTTTATGTCAGATTCTTAAATTAAAAAAAAATTCATTCTGAATAAAAAAACATGTTGGCTATTAACAATAAAATGAAATCACTATAAACAAAATCCATAGATGGATTTTGCACAAGTTATGTTAAGTTTAAATACATTTTAATGTAGAAATATTGAATGATTGCAAAAATGAAATAATTAGCTACTTTTTAAAAAATATGAAACTACAACCGCCAGTAGGTGGCAGCAAGTGACTGTTTTAATGAGTGAGTTTAATCCATAAATCAACCGATTTGTTTAAAATGCTATCCAAATCATCAGAAATTTGAGCTGACGCCACAGTCTAACTCAACCTCGCTCTGAACTCAACCTGATTCAACACGTACTCACCTGGTCCACGTTAGACCTTTTGACATAAACGGTCTGAACTACAGCTTTAAATACGAAGCTCTCAAAACACCAGCTCTATTCATAACCCTGAAACTCCTGAGAGACTCCAAGACCACTTTAATGGCTCAAAAACATATTTAACATTGTTGTATCAAGGTTATACTAAATAACTTATCCTAATATATAACATATTTAGATATAAACTGTGATGAAATCCAATAAATTAATATGCACTGTACTTTTCCTGCACTGTACCCTGAAATAACACTTAGCAGAAAAACCAAAGATATGTATTATTATTAAATGAAAATGTATTGTCATATCTGTGTCTTTTTATGTCAGATTCTTAAATTAAAAAAAAATTCATTCTGAATAAAAAAACATGTTGGCTATTAACAATAAAATGAAATCACTATAAACAAAATCCATAGATGGATTTTGCACAAGTTATGTTAAGTTTAAATACATTTTAATGTAGAAATATTGAATGATTGCAAAAATGAAATAATTAGCTACTTTTTAAAAAATATGAAACTACAACCGCCAGTAGGTGGCAGCAAGTGACTGTTTTAATGAGTGAGTTTAATCCATAAATCAACCGATTTGTTTAAAATGCTAATTCATTTAACTTAGCAAACGACTGTACTTATAGCCTGTTTGAACTATTTACTGGTCCGTGTAATTCTGAGAAACAAAATGTTGTGTGATGGGGCAAAACAGAATTTTGTGTCTGTGTTTATTGTACATTTGCCATCGTGCAGATATTCGGAAAAAATGGGACTCTAGTTTGTGTGATAGGCTAACTCCTATATCGTAGGCATTCACTCATTAAATGCAGGGTTCGTTCAACCAATAAATTTGAACTTCTCATACAACATTCTCAGAACGTCTATATGATGTTATTTGTACTTGATGAACATTCTAAGAACATTTTTGTAACCGTTAAATACCATTCTCAACATGACATGAAAAACGTTATATTTTACGTTACATTTTGGGTGAAAATAAAGTTAGAATACTAAAAAATAATGTTCTTATCACAGCAAGAAAACTGGACATTTTAGAATCATAAATTTGAGCAAATTAGAAGCTAATCTTTTCTGGTCTGATATTTGGCTTTTCAATAAGTAAATTGAATGAAATAGAATGCAAATGATATCGATCACAGCGGGGTGTCAGTTTTCCCTCTTTGTGGGGATTATGTGGACGCTCACGCGTGACGTTTCTCAAATGGACTTCAATGGGAATCTCTCAGAGGCGTTTGGTATGCAAACACACAGTGAATTACATCAGGAATGGAGGATAATCTCTTCTCCTTTTTTTCCAGACCTTTCTCTGGTTCTCTCTGAGTCTCTGATAGCGGACAGACTCCTGAGTTCGGGTCACTCGGAGGGTGTGAATGGATTAAGGAAAGACCCTCTGTAGTGCTGAAACACAATTCCCCCCTAAACCTGTATCAGAGAGGTGACACATACACACACATACACACACACCCCTGTTCCTGCAGGGCATATACACACAAACACACACACATACTCAAACCCCTAACCCAAACCAACTACATAAAACTATAGAACACCTCAAACTCACACATAAAGTGGCCCCAAGAGTATTTCAACACTCAACACTCAAAAAAGATCACATTTAAGTGCACTCGAATGCTGAAGGATTTTTGCTCATGCCGTGTTATTTAATCAGATGGTGATTTTTAGTGGATGCACAAAGTCAGTTCTCTTCAAATTCGTATGGGTGTCTTAGAGTAACCGCGGGTGTAGAGAATCACATTAACTTTAAACGTAAAGCTGCACAAACACAAAGTCACACAATAATTTCACTAATGATTTAGTCTTCATTTTCAACTATAGATCTATTGTTTTACCATTTTAAAAATATTTCAAGGAGGTTTTTGCAATGTATTAAGGTCATGCAAACCAGTCCACCTAGCACAGATGTTTATTTATTTTTTAACTTTTTTTTTTATTATTTGCAATATGTATATCTATAAAGGCTTTCATTCATCTATCTATCTATCTGTCTATCTATCTATCTTTTTATATATTTTTTAAAATCTTTTTATGACTTCTGTTCATGAGAGACTATTTACCGGTAAAAAAAAAATACGCGCAAAATCGCTGAAACATTTGAAAAGGCTGTTTAACTTCCAGTTCCTCGAGTCGTGAGCTCTTTTTCAGGTCGTCAGTGTGTAAAACGGTGTTTTCCAAACCCTAGTGAGCTGCCTAGTTAGGGAGCATTTAAATGCATTGTAAGGTTATTCCCAATGCAGATGCCTTATATTGTTTCATATCTCGCTGAAAAGACAATATCAGAATGAATTGCAACAAGCACACTGCAAAAAAAAAACAAAAGGAAATGTGAATGTAATGTTGACATATAACAGGTGACAATATATATTTAATGCTTTGACTAGCCACTATTTATTTGACATTTTTCACAACTTTTTTGCATTCAAGTTCTTTTTAAATAACCCTTCAGTGTGACACAAGCTTTCATGCAATTTCTCAATTAATAGTGCTAAACAAAAATGCAAGTATAATGAATAAATTAAAATTACAGTTACTCAAACATAGTTGAATGTCAAAAGTTATCTATTAAATATTTAAATGCAATATATTTAGAATAAAATATTCAGAATATTTTACACTATATCTTTAAACAGATTTCAACATTTATAAATGAACAACATTTTTCAAAATATACAACAACATATTTTATTTTTCAATACATTTTTAAACCCCAAATGTATTTTAAGATTATAAATGTAACTTCTTGCTGCTTTAAGTACATCTGAAACATATTTTGGCATTTGAAAGTTCATCCAAAATATATTTTCAAATTAAATATAATAATAATTATTATAAATAAAACAACAACAATAATAATAATAATAATAATTATTATTATTATTATTATTATTATTTAGCCTATATTTGAAATAAGGTTTGTCCAGAAAACATAATAATAATAATAATAATAATAATAATAATATACAGTATATATTGTATTTTATATTTTGGTTGAACTTTTAAATACATTTGTGGAAAATTAAATAATGTATTAAAAATAAGATATATAATAAATAATATAAATTATGAAGCACTGTGTCATTAGCTTAGCAACATGACAGTTCCACTGAAATCAATTGTGATCTAGTCGCTTAAGTACCATTTCCGTCAGGATGCTGCCTTAGAAGACAGTTGCCTATATAGGCAGTAGACAGCTGAATAGGAACACAGCTGCTCTCTCTATCAGCCTGTTCAGGTGTGTGTGAGAGAAAGAGCAGGCTAAAGTGGAGAAATAGCTCAAGGTGTGATCTTATCTGATGTTAACTGAAGAATGACACCATAATGGAACAGCAAGGGTGTAATTATTCTCTTCTCTTCTTCTCTCCTCGCTCCCTCCTTCTCTCCACCCCTTCATGCGCTGCCCTCTCTGACAAATGAAGATTAATGGCAGAGATAAGCGCTGGTTCCTGCCTGTCTCCGCCGCATCCAGTCGCAGGCCCAGTGTGTGAATGGGAATCCCCGTTTCAGATCACTTCTCACTCTCATGGTGTAAATCTTGCTCAGGGTGCAAAGTTTAGGATGTTGGATTATAAATGTGTGTGTATGGTGGCCAAAACATTCATATGGATTTGGCATCAGCATGTTCTTGCCATCATATTTTAAGTTCAGAGGATCAGAGTGGTGGTCTGAGCCCCTTAGATAAGGTTTGAACATTCTAAATATAAGTTAAGCCTAAACATTGGGGATTTATTTCATTTTTATAAAAAAAAAAAGTCCAACTTTTTATCTCACAATTTTAAAAAACACACACTCTCACTCACACACACACACATTACATATAAACTCGGAATTCTGCAAGAATTCTGATTTTTTTTCTTCTTCTCTGAATTCTGAGTTTACACCTTGCAATTCAGATTTTTAAATAAATCTGCTACAGATTAAAATATCTATCTATCTATCTATCTATCTATCTATCTATCTATCTATCTATCTATCTATCTATCTAACAGACAGACAGATATTATATTTAATAGTAAATTATATTATTTTATATTTTACATATATATATATATATATATATATATATATACATTGGTAGTTTCTTTTATTATTATTCTTTTTTTATATTTCATATTTAATATATTAAATTATATTTATTTGATATTTAACATTTTTATTATATATTTAATTTTAATGAAACACATTTGTTTATTATTCTATTAATTAATTTTATTTTATATGTATTTATTTCCTTTTACTTACTTGATTTTTATTGTTATTTGTTAATTTATTATTAATCATATTTAATGCATTTTTTGGGGACCAGGGAGGAAAAACAGTTATGCATTGTACAAATATAAGTATACAAATATAAATATAACCCCACTAATCTCAAATGTGTCCTCTTAAATTGCAAATCTGCCATATTAAAAGTCATAACTTTCAATATGCAATCAATATTGCTCAATTTGGACTCAAAAATGTATGCAATGTGCTTATGCATTCCAGAACGAAACACCAGTCTTGAACTTCCTGGAATTACTATTCAGTAAACATGAAATGTTCTTCCTGTCATTCTAGTTCACATTTCAGTTCAACTTAACGGAACTTCCTGGAAATGGACATATTCATGAATTGATTCTGAATTTTGCATAAGCATGGTTGCTAGGATAATTTGGTGGTTTCTGGGTGGTTAATTCCTAGGTGTTTTACAACAAAAATAGTTCAACAAAAAGTTGAATTGCTTAAGATTATAAAAAATGGGTTTGTTCACACATTATTGGCACATTAAAGAAAGCACTGCTGTGGCCCTGAAATCTGCCCTGACCTCACGCATTGAGAGGTTTCTGAGGAAAAGCTGTATCAGGTTCCTCGTGTCCCTCCGGGTTAGCGTGAGGTGGTTTTTGGATGAAGCTGTAATTTGTCGTGTTGTCTGTGGATAATTGCAGGTTTGTATCATGTCCGTGGCTGAGAAAGGCGCGATGAAGGTGTCTTAGTCAACAGAGGAAGCTCTGAAAGCCTGAAAAACACACGGGTGGCTTTTGTGGCTAAATTGCACCTTGGGAAAGATGATGTGATGAGTGACACAGTGACGCTATGAGACATCTCTGACCATGAGATGGAGTCTGCAGTCTCCTGCTCAAAGACTGGAGAAAATCATTTAAATAGATTTTATATAAATATATAAATAATGTCTCAAACTGTGCTCATATATACCAATATATAAATAAACTCTCATCTTTTTAAGTGGGAGAACTTGCACAATTGGTGGCTGACTAAATACTTTTTTTCCCCACTGTATTTGTACCTTTTGAAAAGGTACTGCCCCTGTGGCAACTTTTGTACCTTTTTTTTCTGAGAGTGTAGGAGATTTCAATCAATTTCTCAATCTTCTGAGAAGCGGATACTCCAATAAAACATTTCTATTAAGTCTCCTGGGCAAATTTTCTTTGATTAAAACGTTGTGTTTCACAATGGCTGCCAACAGTCTGATGACTGATGATCTGACAGTTTGTTGTTGTGTGAAACAGTGAACCTCAAGACCTTAGCAACACAACGCCAAGAGCACAAACCTTGTACATAGACAAGGATAAAACACAGCTCGAAGGTTTTGATGGTAAGAATGAGCAGCAGATTTCTCATGGC